TATTAAAATATGTTGATTTGTTTTTCTAAAACCTGTATTTGTTTATTGAAATGGTTTGGTTTTATCAATTCATAGATGTTAGTTTATGAAATCAGTTCATATAGATGGTTGTTTTCTTACACTCAATTGGGAGTGGGTTATTGACTACAAAGTGTTTGTAGAAATGCTCCAATGAGTTGAACTTCACTAAAAGCATACTCTTAGCAGTTTTCTTACACTCAATTGGAGTGTTTTTTTAATCTGAAATGATAAATCTGGTAAAATTACTTGTTTACAGAAGAACCATGTACATGTTCTTGGAGATCTCTTTTGGGAGGTTCACATCAGAGTCATTAGCTTGGGAAAAATGGTCAACATTTTTTCATAAATGCTATGTTGAAGAAGACAAGAGTTATGTCCAACCTGTATTTTAAAGTTATGAACATACAGAGTGGTTTAAATGTTGGTAAAATGTTTTATATGTAAATGTAGATTTCTCAAAATTTTGATAGTTTTATTGGATATTTATTATTATTTTTAATCAGAAGGGTAAAATAGAACCGAAAGAGAAATTGATTTGCTATTTAGTATTGAACACAAATCCACTTTTTTTTTTCCCCTATAAAAGCATGTCATTTCTGAGCTAGATATGTGAAGTTGGGTGTTTACAATTAGAATTGGTTACATATTGCTATCAAGTATTAAACAGAAAGATTGCCAAGACAAAGTATGCTATTCTAAATAAGAAAATGAGATGCACATTGACTTTTGAGATCATTAACATTTTTAGTATTTTTTTGTTTTTGCAAGAGTGTAATGAAGTCGTCAAGCTCTTCCAAACACCAATATCCCATTATCAGCTTCAACCAACTTGGCAGAACCTATGTATGTAAACATCCTTTTTCCTCCTTTTTTTTTCCTTTTAATTATTACTCCCTCTGTCCTCCTCTGAAATTGCAACTTCTGAATTTAGGTCATACACATACAGAAAGTTTGACTATTAGTTAAATGTCTAAAATACCCAAGTAGAGACAATCTTGTAAACTAAAATCATTACCCTTCAGGAGGGGCAAGCAGGTAATTTTAGCTTCATAGGGTCAAAATACAGAAAGCAGCCATTGTATTTTCACCATCATATCACTTTAACGATTAAACCATTATATTTTTTTAACCTTTTAAAAAAACAAATTTCCCAATTACTGGCAAAATACAGAAAAGTAAAATGTAATGTCAAAATTTTATTGATTTAGCCTTTAAACAAGTGCTCTTTCGTGATAGTTCATTGGCTAAATCCATCAGAATCACCAAATTAATGAGGAAAGACCACTACAACCTGTTATCCTTACTACACAAGCATCACTGCAACCGCCGATCGATTCAACAAATCCACGCTCACTTGGTCACCACTGCCGCCATAATCCAAACACCACCACCACCAGTCAGTATCTGGACCACCATCCTCCACCATTATTCACTTGGGAATTCCCCCGATGAGGCTTTTTTGCTCTATAAGCACCATCTCCACCCCACCACCTTGTTTTATGGCGATAGTTTCACATATGCTTTCTTGATAAAATCCTGTGCCAATTCACATCTACCCATGTCGGGTTCACAACTCCATTCTCTCACATTCAAATTCGGGTTTGAGAGTCATGTTTACGTCCAAACCGCTTTAGTCAACATGTATGTTGTATGTGGTCATTTACTCGAATGTCGCAAAGTGTTCGATGAAATACCTGAAAGAAATTTAGTCACATGGAATGTTTTAGTAACTGGTTTAGCAAAACTCGGTGAAATTGTGCTAGCGCGATCTTTCTTTGATATGATGCCTATTAAGAATGTTGTTTCTTGGAGTGGTATGATAGACGGGTATACACGAGCAAATCAACCCAAGGAAGCAATTTCATTGTTTAGACACATGCTTGCACTTAATGACAATACAAAGCCAACTGAGATCACCATTTTAGCAGTTTACCCCGCGATCTGGAATCTAGGGTCTTTGGAGTTATGTCAGTCAATTCATGCTTATGGGGAAAAAAACGGATTTTATATGATAGATATACGTGTTACGAATGCTTTAATTGATGTGTATTCAAGGTGCGGAAGTGTGGAGAGTGCTTTGCGAGTTTTTGAAGGCATAACAAGTGAGATGAGGAATTTAGTGTCGTGGACATCGATTATCTCTGTATTTGCAATGCATGGAATGGCAAGGGAGGCTGTGGATAGTTTTAAAAGAATGGAGGAAATAGGGATGAAGCCTAATAGAGTTACTTACTTGAGTATTCTAAGTGCTTGTAGTCATGGAGGATTAGTTGAAGAAGGGTTAGTGTTTTTCAAGAAAATGGTGGATGAGTCTGGTATTGTGCCTGATATAAAGCATTATGGGTGCTTGGTTGACATGTTGGCGAGAGCAGGGAGGATTGAAGAAGCAGAGAAAGTGGCTTTGAAGGTGCCTAAAGATTTGGATAATGATGTGATTTGGAGGGTGCTTCTTGGGGCATGTAGCTCCTATAATAATGTTGAGACAGGGAAGAGAGTCACAAGGAGAATATTTGAAAAGGAGAAAGGTTATTCTAGTGATTATGTGCTTATGTCAAACATCTTCTCTAGTGTTGGTGACTATGTTGATTCAGAGAAGGTTAGGAGGAAAATGGATCAAATGGGTGTTTCTAAACTACCTGGTCGCAGTTCCATCTAAGCTTTGAAATGGCAAAAAGGTGATATGACTTATGAGGTTTGAACCCATGGGGAATATACATTGGAGCTGAAGTTTGCTCATATATTTATGCAGATTGGTAATTGTGTTGGTGTGGGAAATTATTAGTCTTGGTTTGTTTGCAAGCCCCATTAATGAGACATTCAGGGAAGTAAACGATTAATGATTTAAAGAAATCATTTTCTATGTTGTGTGGTTTTTGGGTATTTTTGAGAAGCAATCGTAATTTGGTCCAAATACTGTAATTGTACATGAGAACCGCAAATAAAGTATATAATATTACAACTTCAAAGTTCACACCAACACAAAATCTACTCACCGATGCCATTTAGCTCAAGTGGTTGAGAGTTCAAGTCTTATTTGCGATAGTTGTGTAATTTATGAGTAAATTAGAATGTGTATGCCGTTGTAAAAAAAACAATAAATAAAAAAAATAATAAATAAAAAAAATCTTCAAACTGCCAAAACTTAAAAAATGGTAATCATTATGAAATTATGGCCTAAAAAAGATAATTTGGTTAATAGGAAAAATAAATTACGTGTATTAGTATACATTCACTCAATTATAAACTAGACTTCCAACTCAAGTTCTTGAGGTTTCATAACCGTTATAAAAGACAAACCTATATCATATATACATGCATAAATATTTAGGCTTGCACAAAAAAACCGGTTCAGGATCCGAACCGGAAAACCGGTTCACTATGAACCGGTCCACCAGGAACCGAACCGATTCAAGAACCGAAACGCCGGTTTGCACCCGTTCAAGATTTTAGACATTGAAACCGGTTTAGAACCGGTTTAATAACCGTGAACCGGTAGTCAAACCGATCGAACCGGTTTAGAACCGATTGAACCGGTGTAACCGGTTTAGATAGGTTCGAGTTTTTCTAAGACGGAACCGGTTTGAACCGAACCGGTTTATGCATGAACCGGTTTTACTATTCACGAATCGGAACCGAACCGGTTCGGTTTGGAAAAAAAAACCGGTTTGTTCACCCCAGCATAATACAGCCAAACATGCTACAGCTATAAAGGACATAAGCAAACCCAAAAGGAACCATGGAACAAGAAAAGGGCCTATATAAATTTGGCCCAACGATTGGACAAACTATTGTACACTTATGACTAGAGGTGCACATTAGCCTGTTTTAACCCGTTTTGGTTTTTTAAAGAAACCCGTCTATTTTTTATTATTATTAGTTTTGGTTAAAATTTGTATTAGTTTTGGTTAAAATTTGTATGTTTTTCGGTTGAAATTGAGTTAAAAAATCGGTTCTTTTGGTTTAAAAAACAAGTCCAGTCAGAAAAACCGGGGTAAAAATTCGGGTTGCAAATTTTTTTAAAGCCTATATCAAATTGTCAGTTCGTTTATAGTTGAATTGGTTTTTAAAAAAACCTGTTCATATATTTTTACTGCTGCTTTTTTTTTTTTTTTTTTTTTTGGTTTTTAGGAAAGAAAAAACGGTTGTGTTTATCTACCTCTCACTATAATCATTAAGCCATATAATACAAGGAAGTGGAATTACCAAATCGAAAAAAAAAACATTTTATTTCCTCTTCTTATTAATGTTTCCATCATTTACACTTTATGTCCTTGCACCGTTAGGACTTGACACATAAAACCTTCAAGTAAACTAACTTTCTTTTAAAAAGAATAGTCTTGTACTCCAAAATAGCAACACTTTCCATTATGACTTATAATATTTCAATTAATCCTTGCCTAATCATTCCATGCCAACAACCATTATTTTCTCCAAATAAGAATTCTTAATATAATACCTAAATTGCATAGAAAGTTTTTGGATGTTACAAAGGGTTTATCCATAAGTAAATGGGTTCCATGTGAAAAAAACGGGATAATGACTTAAAATGGTAATATATTTTTCAATATATATACATTTGGTCACTGAGTTTTTTTTTCGTCCATATTTACCCATTCAACTTGTTTAATTGTATACATTTAGTCTTTATAATTGACTACTCTAGGTAAGCCGGAAAAAATGACTTAAAAGGGTAATATATTTCTCACTTTGTATACATTTAGTCCTTAATATTTTTTTGCAAATTTAGTCATTAATATTTTTTTTTGTTGCAAAATAAGTCTTTGTTGCTTTTCTACACATTCAATACTTATGATCAGGTTTTTTAAGTTTTTCTCACGACATCCTACGCAGAACAATCATTAGTAAGGTGTTCGGGGTTGTTCATGATTATGGCCACTGCGACCTCGGTTGCTCGGTTGCTTAGTTCTTGTGGTTTGGCTTAGGTCTTGTGTTTTGGACATCGTGAATTCTTCATACGATCACAGATTTTAATGATCTTTATATCCATGTGTTTGTATTTGAGTCTACTATAATTTTATATTACGATTTTATAAAAAAAACGTTCATACATACATAAAAATCACATGAATATAAGTAAAAATATATATTGCTTTTTAACGAGAGTAATCTAAACGAAAATTATAGTTGACCCAAATACGAACGCATGGATATAAAAATCGTTAAAATTTCTGATCGTATAAAGAAGTTACGACGTTCAAAACACAAGACTAAGCCAAACCACAAGAACTAAGCAACCAAGCAGTCGAGGCCGCGGCGGCCATAACCATGAACAATCTCGAACACCTTATTAATGATTGTGTCGCGTAGGATGACATGAGAAAACCCTAAAAAAACATGTCATAAATACTGAATGTGTACAAAAACAATGATTTATTTTGTAACAAAAAAATATTAAGGACTAAATGTGTAAAAAAAATATTAAGGATTAAATGTGTATAAAGTGAGAAATAGATTATCCTTATAAGTCATTTTTTCCAGCTTATCTGAAGTAGCCGGTCATAAGGACTAAATGTGTACGGTTAAACAAGTTGAATGAGTAAATGTGGACGAAAAAAAAAAATTTAATGATCAAATATTTAAAAATCGAAAAATATATTACCATTTTAAGTCATTATCCAAAAATAAAAAAAAAGAAAAAAAAAAAGTATTTAGGTCATTGTACGTGCTGTCAACTTGAGAGGCTATATCAGTGGATGAAAACATGCCTAAATTACTTTTTTATTTTTTATTTTTTTTTATTTTTTATTTTTCACAAGTCTTTGTTCGGTTGATGTAAAAACCCGACCGGACTAGACCGTTCAAAACCAGGATAACATTCTCTTCTATTTCTGGAAAGAAGTTCTATCATACCTTCTTCCCAATTTAGCTTCAATGGCTGCATCTTGTTCAGTTCAGAGCAAATGTACAATTTTTATACTTAATTCAATAATTAGGGCTCGCGTTTTACCTACATATGTCTAAATTCAAGCATTGTTTGGGCAAATTCATCTTTGGATTAACATATCGACTCAGGATCTGCTGTTTTCTTTTCTCCTTGCAATTTTGCAGGTTATGCAGTACCACTACACCTAATTTCGACCTCAGGCGGATCAAATTTTTTCGTCCCTGTAAGCTAATTCTCCATCTCTTCTTTATTTTACTAGGCAGCAAATGCTCTCTCTATATCTGTTGGTTCAATTCTGCTTTGATCGCTTCCCTTTTTTTTTTTTTTTTTTTTTTTTTTATTTTGAGTAAGTTTCTGAAAGCTACCAAATGCAGATTTCTCTTCGTTTATGCGTGTACGTATGTATTTGAATGGTTCCATTAGTCCAATTCATTTACTAAATTTTGTCAAATGTAATTGACTAGGTGAGAGCCTTAAGGGAACATGAAACTGTTAGGTTAATTCGTTGCTTGTGGAAATCATGGATTTGTGTAATGGAATCACAAGAGAAATGGAAATGTTGCATAAAAGGGATATTTACTATTCAGTATTGAACAAAAAACCACTTTTATATTCGTTTTTTTTCATATAGATCAGTCAAATACCGTATGATATTCATAATTTAGTGATCAATGTGAAGTTAAGAAGGAAACTTTTATGATATCTTTACATTTGAAGGTTGAAACACTCAATTTTTTCTCTCTTGTGTTTCAGAAATCCATATGCCCAACAAAAAGAAAACCAAATCAGCAAGTCCAAAGATATCGAGCATGTTGCCTTTTAGAAGTTGCAGTTCCTAGCATTGATATTCCCTTATCAGCTTCATTTAACTTGGCAGATCCCATGTATGTAAACCTTCCTTTCCCCCTTCTTTTTTACTTTTAATTATTACTCCCTCCATCCTGTGAAATTTCAGAACTTGGAAGTTAATTAGACCATACACATATACATATTCCAGATGAAAATTTTGACTATTAGTTAAATGTCTAAAATACCCTTCAATTACTACAAATAGGGACAATCTTGTAGACTAAAAGCGATACCCTTCAGGGCCAAACAGGTAGTTTTAGCTTTGATGTTATGGAATTAATGTAAATCTTGCATGGAGGGGGCACTTTTATGGGTAAAATAGAGAAAATCACTTGAACTTTTACTACATAATTATTTTCTGTACATATCAAACCATTAAACATTTTTTACTGTTAAAAAAAAAAACAATCTTCCTGGTACCCGTTTTGGAAAAAGGGTAAGATATAAAAATTATAGTTCAATGGCTAAATCAAGAGGAATATAATATTTTAGTGGCTAAATCGATAAAAATAATAGTCTAGTAGCTAAACTGATAAAAGATAATAGTATAATAAAACCAAAAAAAAAAAGTTTGTTGGTCATTTGGATACAATTAGAAATTTCGCAACTTAAAAGAGCAAATAAAGCGTTATTGGTGGTCATTTTTCCTTTCTTTTAAACAGTCATCGAAAGTATAATGGATTAATCACCAAAGAAAGATTATTAAGTAACTAAATCAATAAATTGGTGAAAGTACCAATGCTTTTTTGTGTTTTGCTTTATTTTTATCATCAATTTTGGTGGATATATATTTATTTGTAACCCGAACCATTGCTCTAAACAGAAGAGATGCATCGGACTTGATACCAGAGTACATGCAAAGGTTGGTTTTAATGGATCTGGACCCGGGAACAGCTAAGTTG